CATAACTCTGTTGGAGATGAAGGAGGGCAGGCGGTCAATATGATTGCAAACAATGCACGAATTTGATGTGGATGTGACGTGTTGCACGCGTCAGTAATGCATGTAGCGTGTTTGGGTATGTCACGCTACAAATAACTGTACGCCGTATTAATTATAGCGAATCTTTATTGTAATTCACTTGAACTTTACAATTATCGCCACTTGCAGCATTAGAGTTACTGGTTACACAATCCTTCGGCCAATACTTCTGTATCTCTTGGTGGCTAGGTTCCAAACTTCTTCAGCGGCAGCTATTCCAAGACTGAATGAATTCAACCCCCCTTTATAACCTCGGCCGCTGCTATGCAAATGAGCCTTTGTCATAACCGCGGAAACGCTGCTTTGTTCATTCCGCGATTCCTACGCAACGACCCATTGTTATTGCGTTGTCTCTGTGGGAACGCTCCGTGTATTCGTCGTAACCGTGGAGATTCGATACAGTATCGCTATTGTTACTTCCTATGCAACGGTCTGTTCTAGCGTTTCCATAGGGGTGACTCTTCTGAATTCCAAATTCCAATTCTGTTTTTCAAAAGACGCATGTTTTTACCTGTCACAGGTGTGACAGGTATATAATTGGTATATAAAAACACGCGCGCATTCGAATGCAAAGTTGTGTCAAAATTTCAAAGCAGTCGGTGAAGAACTTTCGGAGATTTTCGAGGGGTAACAAACGAACATTTACATTTTTATTTATATAGAAGATTGCATATGGGAGGAAAGGTGAAAGGAGAAATAGTATATTAAACTAAATATTGTATTAGACCTTTTCCCAATACTAGGAAGTCATACCGTGTGCATCTTACAGTTTGCTATCATTAAAACTGAAATGCCTGAATTATCGCTAATGACGTATAATCAATTGCAATCCATTAATATGTTGTACCAATATCTAAAAATGTAAAACTATTTACAAATGATAATTACTCATTTAAATGATTCCATGGCAAAGGGACATGGTACAGCCACAATCCTACCAGAGAATCATGGACTCTCGTAGTAATCGCTTCGAATATCCACTATATCACCTGATACCACGTTCATAAAAGAACTGGTTCAGATTATCCACCAACTAATATAACAATTTTCGTATGCCTAAAAATCAAAATCAACAAAAACAGGCAGTTCTGGGAAAAACTAATTGCCTGTTCTCCTTTCTCTGCAATTTTAGTATCTGATACAACAAGCAGAAAAAACTTCATTAAGTGTACACAATGAAGTCAATAAAACAATACAATTTGGGGGCTTCAATGTTGGTATTATTGATGGGAGTGATTTATAAAGCACACCGTTTGAGATAGACTCAGATGGCATGGTATACATACCAAGTTTCATGAAAATTGGTTTGGGAATTCAGGTATTATTGAGGTCATTATCTTGGCAATCTGATAAATTTTAGTGTTGGTATTACTGATAAGGATTTATGATATATGCCACTGAGATGACCTCAGGTGGCATAATATATACATACCAATTTTAATGAGGATTGGTGCAGGCGTTCAAGCAAAATTAAGGTTATGCCTCAGAAATTTGAGAGGCTGTAATGCTGGTATTACTGATGGCAGGATTTTACAAAATTTACCGTTGAATAGGGATGTGGTGGCATGATTTACTTACCAAGTCCCATGATGATCGGTTCAGACATCCAAGTAACATTACGGCTATTACCTCAACAATTTTAGAGGCTGTAAAGTTGGTATTATTGATCGAAGGGACTTATGAAGTAAGCCGATGAGATGGCTTCATATGGTACGATATAGCTACAAAGTTTCATGAAGATTGCTACAGGCGTTCAAACAATGTTAAAGTTTTGCCTCAGAAATTTGAGAGGCTACTATTTTTTAAAAATGAGGAAAGTAGGTTAAAAATTGTTGCAAACTGGAATGAATAGAATTTTAAGGAACTGAATGAGTTACAATGCTGTTCACAATTCATGACATATAAAAGATTTGAAACAACAGCAACGACAACAGCAGCAGCAGCAACAACAACAACAACAACAACAACAATAATTATTTCTCTCCCAAAGGGCTCACAGAAATTATTCATACAAAATTAACTCAGTTTAAGAAACTGGAATGTTTAATTGGTAAAATAAATCATCGCCATTTTCAAGCAAAATTATAAGCTATGTTGCAGTCGTTGCTATTTCTCCATAAAGAAATGAATACTGGCAGCCTTAGTGCCCCAGTGCTTTGAAAAATGTTGATTCCCTAAAAACTGAATTGCGAACAACCATGTCACATAAAGACATCTCAGATATGGAGAAAGAAGCAATGAGGAGAGAACTGGCAGATACTATGCAAAATGTCGAGGCCCTAAAAAGTGAAATGCAAACAGCTATATCAGCAAAAAGGACATCGGATTTTGAGAAAGCAAAGATTGATGGAAGACTGGCAAATGCTATGAAAGAGTTGGCCACAAAAAATAGGACAAGAATTAATACGGAAACACAGACCACAAGAGATATGCTGGATCTTAGTAACTTGATAACACAAATAAACGAACTGACAGCTGGAGTTGGGCAGTTGTATGACATCGTGCAGGAACAATAAAATATAAAAATGACCTGAAGAGACAAGAAGAAGAAGAAGAAGCAAAGAGTGATATCTCCCCCCAAAAATGAATGGGTTAGAAATGAAGCTGGATGCCCAGAACTGCACAGAGGACGCGAGACTCGAAGATGCCGCAGTCATACAAGCGGCCAAGGGTGAGAGGTGTCATCCATAGCGCAACGCGTCACACTGCTCCTTCCTTAAGGCTGTTCGTCCCGAATAGCCTAACGGTGCACTCCCGTTCCTTTTCTTCAAAGGATGGCTTTCTGCGCCTCCTGTTATTTCGGCTACTCCTTGCAGCGACTATTCTCCTTCCGTTACAACCGCTCCCCTCTTAAGACCAGCTCGTCTCGAGCGGTTTCCTGCTAAGTTGCCAGAAGATCCAGTTGTGTCACATTCATTCTTCACTTTCATTCTTGCTAAGGAGGCCGGTGTTTCTATTACCGGTTCCTCCTATACGGGCCTTCTTTTCCTCTTTGGAGGCGGTCGACACCTCCACAGTGTCCAGATTTTACTTCTCTGCAATGGTACAGATGTGAAAATTCGCTTTGCGATTTCCAATCCCTTTGTCCTCTTGAGGGTCTTGTTAAATTCCCACTTGCTTCCAAGCCGTAGCTGGTCCTCGAAGTCTCGATTCTTGGTTTCCTTGGTGCCTTCCTGGCGCACCAGTTGTTTCCATCTGGGAGTCCATCCTTTCTGGGTTCCTCTTGTACAATGGTTTCTGGTCCAATTCTTCTGCCGCCCCTATTCGGTTGGCGGTCCTTCTTGACTGCATTGAAACCTGCGTCTCTTGCGCTGTGCCACTTTCGCACAGCGGGTTATTTCCTTGTCGGCAGNATTTTACTTCTCTGCAATGGTACAGATGTGAAAATTCGCTTTGCGATTTCCAATCCCTTTGTCCTCTTGAGGGTCTTGTTAAATTCCCACTTGCTTCCAAGCCGTAGCTGGTCCTCGAAGTCTCGATTCTTGGTTTCCTTGGTGCCTTCCTGGCGCACCAGTTGTTTCCATCTGGGAGTCCATCCTTTCTGGATTCCTCTTGTACAATGGTTTCTGGTCAAATTCTTCTGCCCTCTTCTTCTTGTGCCGCCGCAGGTTTCGTGTCCACTGGGGCCGGCACTTTTTCTTCATTCGCTCTTGTTTTTGCTTGGATGGTTTGTATTCCTGCGGCCATTTCTTCTCGCCAGGCCTTTCTATCGGCGTCTATTATCGCCACTAGGCGTTCAAAAAAAATTCACATCTCCATCGTGCGGTAGTATAATTCGTTGAGGCGTGTTCAAGTTCGATTCCACTTCTGAAACACTAGTTGTCACGAATTCGGTGTATATAACGTGACAAATAACTTAACACCGTATTGGGTATAGCGAATTTTATGTCACACTCGCTAATACAATCACACAATTCACAGATTCACAATTACTGCTATCTTCAGTATTACAATTACTACACTGCAAATGCTAGACTACCTGGCTGACTCTTAACTCGTAGCTCGAGAACTTCAATACTGGAACTAACTCGTGAATTCGTAACTCGAGAACTAACTGTGAATAATCTTCGCTGCTCCTTATTTAGCCTCGTTCCGGACAGCACAGAAAACAGCCACGTAATCGGCACCACTGTTGTCTGCCGCCGTGGTAGCCGATAGCCTAGCAACACTGTTGGGAGTTGTTTACCGCTACTTAGCAACTGCGGCGTCCCGTGTTACGTCACCGATGTTGACTCGCGTTGCATAGCGACCAGTATGCTGGGACTTGGCTAACTTCGGCTCCGCTCGGCGCGTCACGGCTGGGGGGGGGGGAGGCGTCATCCATAGCGCAACGCGTCACACTCTATTGGAATATATTGCTGGCGCCTTCATCATTTGGTTGTGATTCATGTTGTATTTGGTCGGGGAATTTGTTCGTTGGTCACTCTTCTTGTGCTTTGTGTGTGTTGGTGTGAACGATGGTCATTCAGACCAAAAATTGTTGATAATAGTCTTTTTTTATGGAAGTACATTGGTTAATAAAATTGTGCACAGAAATAATTCTTTACTTTTCACTTTTTGTTTTATGGATGCTGCCAAACTTGCGGAAAGGTCATTTCTGCAGTTTAATTGCAAAACCTATTTTATAGTAATCACAACAGAGAGCCAATTATTTTGTTTACTGTGTATTTATTAGTTGTTACCTGGTAACGAATCTTAACAATGAAAGTTCATCGGCTTCTGCGTTCACGCCATTACTGTTTGAACTCCAGATGACGGCTATCCTCTAAAACATATGTTTGTTTTTATACTTGATGCAGATAATAATCGTTAAATATTAAAGACAGTTTCAAACTGACATTCATATTGCCGCCATACGCACTCCAGGCAAACGTGATCGAACTTACGGGAATAACTGCAAGAAGCGTTGCCATAAATTTGCTTGTGCGGGCCAGTGGTGAATATTGACTTCGTGCTCCACACATCTGATCGCAGGCAACGTAATTGGTTGGTTATCGTTTGTTGCAATGGGGAATGCAGACACGAAATTAAATTTCAGGAAAGCAGTTGTTCAGCTTACATCTAAGACACACGTAAGTAACAGACATTACTTGTATTTGTGTCATAAACAAGGCTATTTTCATGGCAGTTGATGACAATTATGCTATCATTTTTGTAAGTTTCGTACCATGGTTACAGTTTGTGGTGGTGACGTTTGCAGTGAAGCCATGTACTGTTTATGTCACATTTAAAGCACTGAACAAAGTTAATGCGGAACATATGTTTCCGTCGAATATACATTTCAAGAACGACGTATTTGAATACCATGTCGTTAAATGATAACGTTTACATTTCGGAAATCCAAATCGGATTTACAGGTGGGTGTATGTAGACCAACGTTTTATCCAAGCGTATAGAAACTGACTTCTTTCTCGAGATTAAATCATGATAGTAAATAAAGTCATGCCGTTTAAAGATTTCAGATAAGTTGCCCAATATAGTTTGTTCGCAGAATATTTTGTTATAGCGCCTCCAGGACTTTTTCCGGGAAGGGGGTAGGAGCAGAATGTGCTTACAAACCTACGTTAAAGCAGTTTGCATTTTTCACCTTCAATATATAGGGCAGAATATATCTTTATCGGCGTTTTAAATTTTTGGTTTAAATATTTGGCATATTTCCTTTTTTCATTTTTTTTAATCTGAGGGGGAAGATGCCTGGCCTGCCCGCAATACCCTCTGCAGAACCTTAGTTATAAAACGTAAATGGAAGAGGCTGTTTGTCGATTAACAACGCACATCTCTGTTATTAGTATGTTGAAAAAAGTAACCAAGGGCCCCAACAATTTAGGATTCTTTATTTGATACTGTCACCTGTTTCTGAATTGTGTTCTTAGTACTGAGAGCATGTAGTATCAGATGATAAGGGTGAATAATGAATGTGGATCAGTTGGAATAAGAACTAATAAGGGAAACCAAAGTGCTTGGGGAAAACCTGCCCCAGCGCCACATAGTCTGTCACTAGTCCCACACAGGTTGACCAGGAATCGAATCTGGGCTGCTGTAATGATTGCGTTTGAATTAAAAATTCCATGGCATATTGTGGAAGGCTGGTTGATTAGAATTCTGACCAGGAAATGGAGTGTGAAAATAAGACTTATGAATTTTTATCAACTTGCACAATCCATATGATTTAAAGAACTTTTTTCCTTCTATAGCCTATTGATGCTGGTGATGACAGTTTTTGGGATCAATTCTGGTCTGAGAATGTAACTAATGTTCAAGATGTTTTCACTTTGGTGCCAGCACCAGAAATTCGAGCTCTTCGAGAAGAAGCACCATCAAATTTAGCAACTTTATGCTATAAAGCGGTTGAAAAGTTGGTGAAGGCAGTTGATAGTAGCTGTAGAACTCATCATGAGCAGCAAACAGGTAAGCTTATCATGATTTGGTATCTAAAGTAAAAATGGCAAGTAGCTTATCTTATGCTGTTTAAGTGTAACACAACAAGGTGACTGGGAAATCAATATTTAGCCTTTGATGGGGAGATAATATTCAGTCTTTAAACTACAGTTGAATTGCTAAGTAAGTTCAAGGCACAAATAATGTGAAGTAGTTCTTCTCCAAACATTTTTCAGTGCTGTTTTTATGAATATTATTATTTATGAAAGTATCAATTTTTTTTTACAAACAAATATTAGTCTGCAGTATTCTGTATTGATAATTTTGTGTGTACAGTTTTGAACTGTGTACGATTGCTGACTCGAGTGTTGCCATACATCTTTGAAGATCCGGATTGGCGAGGATTTTTCTGGTCCAGCTTACCAGGACAGTCTCAAGATGATGATGACGACGATGAGCAGTCCATGCCGTTGGCACAGTCACTCATCAATGCCATCTGTGTAAGACAGTGGAAAATCTTGTGGCATTTGTGGATTTCAAGCAGTTGATAGTTTGATTTATTTTTCCTCTTTGAATTCTGTTTCTCAGTAGTTAGATGGAATTTCTGTATCATGGATTCTCTTCAATGCAAGACCGCCATAATAACTAGATATTATTTTTATTTTATTTGTTGCTAGTGGGGTGGGACTAAGTCCCTTGTAGTGTGGTCACTTCTGGCCTGTTGTACCAGCCCCAGATGATAGGTGAGGATGATTGTGGAGCTATTGGTGGAATGAAGATTGGCAGGGGAAACCAAAGTACTTGGAGAAAACCTGCCCCAGTGCCACTTTGCCCACCACAAATCCCACTTGACCAGACCCGGGATTGAACCCGGGTTGCCGCGATGGGAAGCCATCGACTAACTGCTTGAGCTATGGTGTGGGTGGAATAACTAGATATTAATGGAGGAAATTTTTACTTAATGTGTTGTAATCTAAAACAGTCTCTTTTCCCACTTTATTTTAAGGAATAATGAGTATTATTTGTGTTGGATTTTATGATTAGCATCAGCATTAGAAAGGCTATTCAGGAACAGTCATGAGTGTAGTCCACTGGGTAGAGTGGCTATGCCACTGGTCAAGGTAATGAAGGAATCTGCGTTCACTTCGTGGCAGGGTCAGAGGTTTTTGTCATTTCCATAGTGAAGACCTAATCTCTTAAGTTTATGTGGCCTCTTCAGTGGGTACCAGAGCTTGTGCCCTAGGGCTAAAGTCCTAGGGGCATGAAGCTGACCAGTTATCTCTATATAGTACTGGGATTAAGGCATGGAGCTGTTCCTCCACTATGTTGTACGTCTTCATGTTGTTGTGCTTAATAAAGCACAGGATAAGCTTTATCATTTTACTGTCAGTTGTTGATTTGGTATTGCATTCATGTATTAATTTATGATTTTACAGGATTTGCTGTTTTGTCCAGACTTCACTGTTGCTGCTAATAGAAAATCTGGCCCAGTAAGTAAAAGAAATCTGTTGTAATAGTTAAAATATGAAGCTATTTTGATCATGGTAATCATATATTTGTTTCCATATTCACACAGGACAAGGCAGAAGATCTGCAGGCTATTGATAGCTGTGAATATATCTGGGAGGCTGGAGTGGGATTTGCACACTCTCCACCGCGTTACCCTAATCATGATTCAAATAGAACAGAACTACTGAAGCTTCTACTTACATGCTTCAGCGAAACAATGTATCAGCCTCCAGTTGGTAAGCATTTCCTTTTGCTGTTATCCCCCACGCCACTGTTATCCTTAACACTTTTTAACTGCCAGCAACTCCTTACAGCCTGGTCGTTTCTCATGGTATGCTAGTGGTTTTGCAATATTTCACTGTAAAGAAATTGGAAAGGGATTGTGTAAGCAGCTGCAATCACCATCTAGCACAGAGAGAGAGAAAAAAAACTGTTCTCTAAGGGCATTCTGAAAGAGAAATCCACTTTCTTGTTATTTAATTAATTAATTAATTAATTAATTCGCTAGTGGGTGGTGGAATCCGGCTGGGTCCTCTTGGCATGGCAGCCACTTATTGGCCTATTGTACCTGCCCTGGGTGATTATGATGATGGAGAATTTGGTGGAATGATGATTGGCAGGGGAAACTGAAGTATTTGGAGAAAACCCGCCCCAGTTTCAGTTTGTCCACAACAGATCCCACTTGACCAGACATGGGATCGAACCTGGGCCGCCACGGTGGGAAGCCAGCAACTAACTGCTTGAGCTGTGGTGCTGCCTTTTGTCTTGTTACCATCCAACCTTGTTCCCTTAGAGTAGTCTAGACAGAGTACCACTAAATGACTAGCCTAAGATATGGGAATGAAAATGGTAATTTTGTTCAGAGATCTGAAACTGCTTTGTAGCACAGATGTTTATTACCATGAAAGTAGAACATTATATAAAATCAGGTTCTCAGAATCTTTGCTGTTGAGGTTATGGTCCTTGGAGCTCTGATGCTATGTAGGCTTTTGGATAGGTACCAGGATTTTGGAGAAACTCCTGTCTCTATTTTCAGTTCTATCCTGAAGCTGGAGACAGCAGGTTTTTCCAAAACGTTGATACCTATGTAGCAGACTCTATGCTTTCACATCCCAAAAGAACCTAGCCTCAAGTTGAGCATTAGCACAGTGAAGAATACGTTCTGTGCTCTTTGTATGTAAGAACAGTAGTGAGATAAGCTTGGAAATGTGATGGTGTAGAAGGAATTTGTAAGAAGAAATCTCTTTAGGGCTGCTCTAGATTTAGAAGTGTCATTTACAAGTTGTTTAAGAGCCCAAGGAAGATGATTAAAAAGTTTAATACTGGTATAACTAACTCCTTTCTGAAATATTGATAAATTTGCTACTGGAAAATGTAAATCATAATTAAATCTTGTATTAAGCCCATGAACATCTGAATTTGTTTTAAAAAACTATTGTTAACAACAAACATACAGCTCTGTCCAAAAAGTATCTGACCTTGGGCTGGAAAAACAAAGTTCTGTATCTGGGTGGTTACAGTACCTAAACCCCTTCCAAGTAGGCCCCTTGTGACTCCACACAGTTAGCCCAGTGGTCCTTCCATCGCTGGAAGCAGTTCTGGAAGGCTTCTTTTGGAATGGCTTGCAGCTGCACCTTTGTGTTCTCTATGATGTCCTTGCGGCTGTCAAAACGGGAGCCTATTAGTCATGTGTTCAATCTTGGGAACAGCCAGAAATCACAAGGAGCTATGTTAGGAGAGTAGGGAGCTTGGCGAACCTGCGGAATGCTGTGCTTGTCCAGGAAACCCTGGATCACGTGTGATGAATGAGCTGGGGCGTCGTCATGATGCAGCTGCCAGTCGCGTGCATCCCACAGCTCTGGTCTCTTGCGCCGAACTGCATCACAAAAGTGGCGGAGGACTTCTTGGTAGCACTCCTTATTGGCAGTTTGTCCTAGTGGTGTGTACTCATGACAGAACACCCCAGTAATCGAAAAAAACAGTCAGTATCACCTTCACATTGCTCCGAACCTGTTGTGCTTTTTTGGGTCAGAGGAATGTTCTATGCTTCCATTGTGACACCTGGACATTGGTTTCCATGTCATATCTGTACACCCACGACTCGTCATCAGTGATCACAGTCTTCAGGAACTCGGGATCCCTGTTGGCGCACTCCAACATGTCCTGCGCGACCTCAAGGCGGAGTTGTTGCCGCTCTGGTGAAAGCAGCTTGGGCACAAATTTTGCCACCACTCTTCGCATGCCCAAATCCTCAGTTAAAATTGTGTTTGCAGAACCTCTGCTGATCCCAACCTCATCAGCATCTTTCCGGATGGTCAAATGTTGGTCCTCCGTGATCAGTGGCCGCACTTTTTCAATGGCATCAGCATTTCAGCTTGACAGTCTCCTTTAACGCTGGTCACTGTCTGCCAACATACAGCCATATTTAAAGCATTTCATTCATTCATTCATTCATTCATTCATTCATTCATTCTTTCATTCATTCATTCATTCATTCATTCATTCATTCACTGTTTGAGGAAGTGGGTTTCCCCAAGCACTTAGACCAGTTATTGGTCCATTGTGCATCCCCCTTTAATTTCTACTGTTCCCATACTGCACCAGTACTGGTGCCCGTTATCAGCCCCTTTCTGCCAGCGAGGTCGGCCCTCTACTGGCAGTGGTATCTGATAATTAGTCCCTTTCTGTCAGCGAGGTCGATCCTCATCTGGCAGTGGTACCTAATACTTTCCCCATCTACCGGAGGCATTGGAAACTACTTGGGTGGGAAAGTTTGCCTAATTTAGCTCAGAGGTCTCCTAGAGACATGAGGTTCTTTTACGTGCCGTAAATCTACGACACGGGACACATGGCTTAAAGTCCCTCCCAGAGGACTTGTTCCCTGAATTTTTCCACCCTTAAAAATTCCATGACCTCCGCTGGGTTTGAACCCGTGTACCTTGAGTCATGAGGTGGGAACGTTACCCCTAGACTACGGAGGCCTCTTTTTAAAGCATTTGAATCACTCTTAATTTGAGTGACCCCCGTTCCATCATCTCTGAAAGCCTGCTGAATTTTGTGCATTGTTTCTGCTTGGGTATCCCCAAGTTTCTGACAAAACTTTATGCAGTATCGCTGCTCCAAGCATTCTGTCGTCTTGTTCTTTCCTTTCTCTTCCTCTTACTAGTTATTCTTGCCATCTTCTTCTTCTTCTTCTTCTTCTTCTTCTTCTTCTTCTTCGAGCAAAATGAGAATGTGACAAACACGTGTTACACCACTTCGCTATCTGGCAGCCACAGACGCATCCGGCAGTGTTGCGAGTCAGCAAAAAATCACACATGCGCATGAAAGTCCCTTCTACCACTACGCTCAGTTTCCCCACCCTTTGGCCATTACTTACAGCGGAAAAAAATAAAGTCGGATTCTTTTTGGACAGCAGTGTGAGTAGAGAAAATATATATTGAGACTTGAGTGGAAGAATATGTATTTTCTTAAATAAATAACGGCAGTAGTCCTACTACTAGAATGCATAATAATTCTCATTATTCTTTTTTGAATTCCAGCGTGTAGCTGTCAATGGCTTTGATGAGCCATTGACCAGACTGTTGGTCGGTGCATATATAAATAAGTGCACCTCCCTCCAGTCTGTATGATTTCAGGTGTGGTAGTTCTCCCAAAGGAGTCCTACGTAACACCTCCCCCAGTGCTTCCAGAATGGAGTTCTGGTCATCTTCGGTAAGCTTATCCTCAGGATATGTTTTGCTGAAGATAGCTACCTTTATCTTGGTTAGAGCCTCCTTGTAAGTCCCTGGTCCCTTAGAGTCCCGGGCCTTTTCAGAGTTCTGGCCATTTCTGTAGGGGTACTGCCCTCCGACCTTGGCCTCTTAAAGGTCCTGGTGTGGGGGTTTCTCCCTGCTTGGGCGAGCCTGCATTTCCTGGTTGCCGACTGGCCCCAGTTCCTGCTTTGCTTGCCCTAGCTCTTGCCTTTTTCAATTTCTGTCTAGCACATCCAGTCAAGGCCTTCTTCACTAGACGGGGTCCACTTACTCCAGAAACTAGGTGTACCAGTCCTTCTCCTGCTGCAGGTGTGCTACAAGTACAGGTCCCTTGCAGTGGTATGTCAGTACTACTGACTCCCAAGAGAGTAGTTTTTGGTTTTACCTCTGGCAGGTTTTGAAACCACTGGTTCCTCCCTGTCTTTGGCTGAAATTTCAATAGCAGGTTCACTGGTTGCAACTGGGCCCCCTAACGGTTCACCAGAGCTTCCAGCCACCTGCTGAAGCATTTCTCATAAGGATCCCTTTGTAGGGGAGTCCCTCTTCTGTTTAACATCCTTCCAACTGTTTTTTGTTTGGGTATCAGTATTCATTTCAGTCCCAAGAGTCATGGGGATTTAATAGGTCACCACCCACAGCGCTCCATATGGGTGGAAGGCATGAATACGATGGGGTGCTGCCAGGTGCCCTGAGGGGATCTTTCACGACATTGGCTAATTACCACCCTAGTGCCACGCAGCCCTCAGCACGATGCCTCACACGGTCTACATATTTTCTCAGAGTAAATGTTTTACTTTGTTTAAGTCAAGTAGACAGTGATTAACTGTTTTAATAAATCCTATCTTAAGCATGTGCTGTATTCTAGAAGGGTCTGTGTTATTATAAAATGTGATACATGCACATTTTTAATGTTCATCCAAATACCCATTGTGATAAGCTATAATGGAAATTAATGAATTCAACAGTGATCTAACTGTTCTGTTTCTTTCCCAACAGATATCCATATTGCACCTAATCGATGGATTCAGTACTTCACCTGTGCAGACAATCGGCATGCATTACCAATGTTTACATCACTACTGAACACAGTGTGTGCCTATGATCCTGTTGGTCTTGGAGTGCCCTATAATCACCTGCTGTTCTCAGACTTAGTGGAACCACTGGTAGATACCGCTTTGCAGATTCTTATTGTCACATTGGACCATGATACTAGTGGCAGTGCCCCAGAGGGTGAGGAGGTGTGTATTTGTACTCTGTATTTTTGTTTCACATACCACTATTTTGTTACACCAGATCTTTCAGCAATGTGGTGATGTTATTGGTGGTGTTTTATTCCTTTTGGTCCTCAAGTCGTTAGATATAAAGACATCATAAAAGAATAATAATTTTGTTCTCTTGTCTCTGTTTTCACTTTCATCTTCTTTTGTCCTCTTGCTCCTCCCTTGTCTTTATTGTCCTCTTCTTTTTCTTCATTCATTTTCTCTCTCGCATCATTCCTGGTCGCTTTTTACTTCTTTTCCTCATAATTCTCACTTTTCTGTGCCTTTAATCTTCTTCTGGTTCTTTAGTTCTTCTTTCTCTTTTTTATCCACTTTTCTCATATTATCCTTTTTCTCCTTTATATCCTTACCTGCAGAAGTATTTCTTCAGGATCTGAAATTTGACTGGACTTGAAGTTTTCACTGCATTTTTTAGCCATTTAGCCTATGAAAGTGAGTTGTTTCTACATATTCAAAAATAAGGTTCATTTTGTATAGACACACCTACAAGGAGGTCTAATTTTAATCATGGCTGACCTTACTCTGCAAATTTATTAAAGATTTTGGATAAATGTGTATGTCATGAATTATTGGGTTTTACCATGTTTAGTATTGTGTATATTTTATGCTCAAAAGAAAAGTTACAAAGTGCAATGGTACAATAGGGCAGAAGTGGCCGCTGTACAAGGGACTTAGTCCCACCCTACTAGCAATAACAACAACAACAATGATGATGATGATGATGATAATGATGATAATAATGATGATGATAATAATAATAATAATAACAATAACAACAACAACAACAATTACAACAATAATAATAATACAAAGTGCAAGAAAGTGAGCTTAGTTTTTAAAAAAAATCTTTTTAGAACTACACCATTCTGCACTGTCAGAATGACAGTGTTCAATGGTGGGTTTACTGTTGTTGTACGAGGGTAAGTCAATAAGTAAGTTACAAATGGATATAAAACTTAAACAAATAAGAGTGCTGATTTGAAAAATGCTTTTATTTCGCAACATAATCTCCCTGTACATTGAGGCACTTGTCCCATCGTTTCACAAGCCCCTGAGAACCAGCAGCATAAAATTCTTTGGGCTGCTGTCAGAACCAGGCTGTGACTTCCCTTTCTGCAGCTTCATCGTTGGGAAAATGTTGAGCCGAAAGATGATGTTTAAGAGGGCTGAACAAATGGATGTTGCTTGGAGCAAGCCTCATCACCTGTGACAGTTTGGGCTAGCGTATCGTGTCCTTCATTGTGGTAGTGATTGAGATGCTGTAATGCCACACCCATTCTCTGCATTTTGTGTTGTGGGGTCAGCGTGCGCGGCACCCATCATGCACATACTTTGTGAAAACCTGACCTGTCATGTGACTTCCATTTGTTCAGCCCTCTTAAACAACATCTTTTGGCTGATCATTTTCCCGACGATGAAGCTGTAGAAAGGGAAGTCACCGCCTGCCTCCGACAGCACCCCAAAGAATTTTATGCTGCTGGTTTTCAGGGGCTTGTGAAACGATGGGACTAGTGCCTCAATATACAGGGAGATTCATCATCATCACTGGCACGACAGCCCTTTGTGAGCCCTGGCCTTCCCCAGGATTGCTCGCCATTCTTCTCCATTCGATGCTACATTCCTCCAGTTCTTTATACCTAAAATTCTTATGTCCTGCCTCACACATTCTTCCCATCTCAATCTTGGTCTTCCCACTTTCCTATTTCCTTCTGGTTTAGTATTAAGTATTTTCTTAATCGTTCTGTTCTCGCTGGCACATATTATGTGTCCAGCCCATTCAAGCCTTTTCACCTTTATAAATGCAGTAATGTCTGTCATTAAAGAGTTTGTATAGCTCATGGTTATACCTCTTCCTCCATATTCCATTTTCTTCCACTGGTCCAAAGATATATCTCAGGATCCTTCTTTCAGATATACTTAACGGTCTTTCATCCGATCTTGACAGTGGCCAGGTCTCAGAGGCATAAGATAGCACCGTTCTTATAAGTACTTTATACATCATAGTTTTGGTTTTCCTGGGTATTAATTGGGATTTCAGGTGTTTCCTAAGGCCTTGGAGACATTTATTTGCCACAAGTACACACTTTTTTATTTCATCACTGATGTCATTTTTACAGTTAACTTCTGATCCAAGGTAAGTGAAACTACATACAACCTCAACTGTATATGAGCCACTTTCAATATATGCAGGTCCATTAGCGCAGTCTTTCTTGGTTACCGGCGTGTACTTTGTTTTATTTTGGTTAATTTATAGATTCATCTGTTTTGCTGCTCTTTCCAATTTAAGAAAAGCTTCTTTCATAGATTTGTATGTTCTAACAATTATATCAATATCATCTCCAAATGCCAAAATTTGAACTGACTTATAGAATATAGTACCCCTTGTGTTGATGCCTGCATCTCTAACTACCTTCTCTAATGCTATATTGAAGAAAAGGCAGGCTTGGGATTCCCTTGTCGAACTCCATTTCTAGTTATTATAGGGCTGGACAACATATTCTGAATCTTAATTTGGCATTGGGTCTTTCTCATAGCAGCTCTGACTAAGGCGATTAACTTCCGTGGAATGTGCATCCCTTCCATTGCCAGAAAAAGACTATCTCTCTCTATGGAGTCATAGGCTGATTGGAAGTCAATGAAAAGATGATGTGTTTCAATTTGGAATTCATTACACTTTTCAAGGACCTGGCGAATAGTGAAAATCTGATTGTTAGTTGATCTTCCTTGATGAAACCCACATTGGTAATCCCCAATTATGCCTTCCACGAAGGGAGAGAGTCTGTTAAATAGAATGTTGGGAAATATTTTATATGCTATGCACAACAGACTAATTCCTCTATAATTAGAGCATACCATGACATCGCCTTTCCTATGGATAGGTCATACAATACGTAGGCTCCATTCCTCTGGGATTATTTCTGTTATCCATATCTTAACTATCAGCTGATGTAAGTGCTTGGCATATTCTGGGCCTGCAAATTTCACTAATTCTGCCGTGATGAGATCCATTCCTGGAGCTTTATTATTTTTCAATTTTTTGATAGCTTGTTCTACTTCTTTTATGGTCGGCGATGGCTCTTCAGCCTAAAAATTTCCTTGATTCTGGTCTGTGGTAATACCTTCCGCCTGTTCGGAGGCATTACCATTTGATAATTCCGCAAAATGTTACACCCATCTTTCCAATATTGCTTCATCGCTACTCAATATCATGCCTTCTTTATCTCTACATAAGGTTGTTCTAGGTTGAAAGTCCTTTCGACTCTTGTTTAGTTTTTGATAAAACTCTCTAATTTTGTTTGAACTTCCTAAATTCTCCAATTCAATCAGTTGCTGTTTATCATATTCCTTTTTCTTCTTTTTATGCAATCTTTTTTTCTTTTCTTCTCGCTTCGTGGTATTCTTCCACGGCCCCTCGAGTATGGTTCCTTTGCTGTATTCTCTTATATGCCTGGTTTTTTTGATTTGTCACCTGCTCACACGCTCCATCAAACCAATTCTTATACTTCATCCTTTCCATTCTTCCTAAAACTGCATCAGCAGCATTTATAATAGTATCTCTGAGGTCCCTACATTCAAAGATCCAATTCTCAAATCCTTTAAACATTTTCCAGGTCGTCTTGAATAGGTCCGTCCGGCTACTCTTTCCTTGGATTTCTGAACAATTTAGTTTTTACAGTGAGGTTATTGGCCTCACACCCAACTCCCAAACAGGGAGATTATGTTGAGAAGTAAAAGCATTTTTCAAATCAGTACTCTTATTTGTTTAAGTTCTGTATCCGTTTGTAACTTACTTATTGACTTACCTATGTACATAGAGTATATAGTGAATCCCTAGTTTTTTCCTAGTCTTAAAGAAAAAGGTATTGAAAATTACTTTCTTCTTGGGTATGTGTGATGTCTGATAGGTGTTTACCATTGTGCTGGAGAATATGCTGGCTTAGGGTAGACATGCTAGATGACAGTAATCTTCAGAACTCTTTATGTCTTTACTAAGGTAAAAAGAAAGGTAAAGTTGTCCCTGTGCTTAACTAATTAAGAACTATGCCTTGAGGACATATGGGGGAGTGGATGTATAGGTCCACATTTTCTTGACCTTGGCACTAGTTGGATGTGAGTGGTCAGCTTTATTTCCCTGCCACTTTACCCCCAGTACCCATTGTATAGGAGGTTGAGTGAACCCCAGAGCAAGTCTGGACAACATGGAGAAGTGAAAATTCTTGACCCTGCCAGGACTCAAACTCTGACCTTTCAGTCATCCAGCCTGTAGCCAGTTGCTATACTGACTGTGTAATCCCAGCTCCATGTCTTTACTAAGACTGGTAAGATGTAACAATACCTCAGATATCTCTTAAACAATATCACTCAAGTTTTCTTATCAGAAGAACAATTTTTTTATTATTTATGTAAGTATGCTCATTAACAAAAATCATTTTTGCAGGCAACAGTGCCAGACAATTTGTTCATCAATTATTTGTCACGGATTCACCGAGATGAAGACTTCAATTTTGTTTTGCGGGGTTTCACAAGGCTGCTGAACAATCCGCTTATGCAGACATACCTGCCCAACTCTACCAAAAAGGTGCAGTTCCATCAAGAGCTCTTGGTCTTCTTCTGGAAAACGTGTGACTACAACAAGGTGAGGCATTGGTCTTCTTCTGGAAAACGTGTGACTACAACAAGGTGAGACACACAGCCTAACTGAAGTGAAGCTGTGTCATGTAGGATTTGAAGTTTTCACAGCAATCTTTGTGAAGAGGTCTTATCTTCTGGGATATAATGGACCATAGTGTGTTGAAAATTCACTGACATTTTGGAGGAACATGTTGCCCTGCTTGCTACCAGCTTCGTGCTGGTTTCTTGCTTGGCTTGTTCCTGAACCATGAAGATGGAAGCAGCATGCTCCTGCAGAACATCTGTTGACTTTCATCAGGCTGCTTCACATTGTATCTCGGAAGATAAAACACTTTCTAATCAATATCAGTTTTAAAGAATATATATGTGTGTTTTGTGTGTGTGTTCAGTTTTAAGTGCTGGAAAGCTGTTCTAATTTAGTACTGCCAGATCTTCAAAACATTGAACTTTAAATTACTATGTATTATATTTTTAAATAAATTTTATGACTCAGGTGGATACCAGGTATGGAGGTGAGCTGCAAACAGGTTGAATAAGTATTCTTGGACAGCTGACAAGATGTGGTAATCTGTGACTTTAAAAGGGAAGAGAACTAGGAAGACCAAGATGTAAATGGGAGGACAATATATATCATATAGGTACAGAGATGAGGGTGTAAATTGAATTCATCTGGCTCAGAATATGAACTTTTGGCAGGCTCTTGGGTTCACAGCAATGATCCTTTGGTTCCATAAGAGTTACGGATCTTTTTTTACCAGCTCAGTAACTATTGGCTTCTTAGAAAGGACTTCATTCCATGGAGTTAGGTAGTAAGTTGGGTACTGGAACCAACCAGAATATCAGATCTGTCAGTTCTTGTAAATAGGTCATTGCCAACTCAGTTATTATTCAGCTTATTTTAATTTACCGTGAAGTCTTATTGGACAGTCAGGCCTGTGGAAATGGAATTAGTTTCCACTGTTTCAGAGACTTTCTTATCACCACCAGTGGATGATGTAATGAGTTTCTTGGCATATAGAGTGTGCCTTTGTCTGTGCTCTACTGTAGTACTGGCTAGAACTACTGTCTCTGTGGACTGCTTAGTGATGAATGGTGTTCAGATCCAGGTGTACCCTGACAGGTTGGGTCTCTCTACAGATTCACTCTGTGCTGTTCATGATACTGGGCCACAAACATACCTAAATAAGGGCAAATTTTAAACTATATGTGAAATACATGTAAATTAAAGTGTATTTGTTAGCATAAAAATTCATACAAACACAATATGAATTCATATTGTTAATAACACAATTCAAGAACTAGTACTTATATTCTTGTACACCTGAAGGTGACCCAAGAGAAGAGTTGAAACATTATCACCAACAGCTAATAAAACAAATGTTGACACAGTAGTATCTCTCAGTCTCTTTCAGAACTATTGTTGTGTAGACTGTCCCATTATATATTAATTATAATGAAGAATCAACGTCTAGCATGTCAGAGGTTAAGGAAAGTGAGCTGTGATGGGATAAGGCACCTTGGACTGCCGTGCTAACCACAGCACCCTCAGTAGTCTGCAGTGGAACAGCAGAGATTATACTCTCTGGTATAAATGTATGTGGCAGTGACACTCATAACAACAATCCTAGATGCTGGAGACAGTCTCTGAAACACTGGATGACCCCACTCTACTGACAGGGCCCATTGCCCAAGAAGACTTCATTGTATACTGTTGCACTGAGAGCTTAATGTCATTTGTTTTTATCTTTTGCTGGAATGCGTAAATAAGTTTTGTGCATGTTTGTTACCATATGTGTGCAATAAAATATTAAAATACCTGGCAGTATAATTTAATTGTGAATTATGCTGTTGGGTCAAAGGTGAACTTCTGGCAAAGGTAATGTAGACATTTTCCGTTATGAGTTGGGGACAGATTATTGTGCAAATATATATATTATTCTGCTCTGAATTTTGTACTTCACCGTAGTTTCATTTGGTGTTATTTTAAATTTCAGAAATTCTTGTATTATGTTCTGAAGAGCAGTGATGTTTTGGAGATATTGGTGCCAATCCTCTATCATCTTAATGACTCACGGGCTGATCAGTGTAAGTGAAACTCAATTTTTTTGTGATCTTCAGTTTATCTTTATTAGAACATGCTTGTAGGTACTTGTTCTCTAATATTGAGTAATACCAAACAGGTTACCCTGAAATGAGACTGGGCTTTATTGACCACACATCCATATCATAATTATATAACCTCTGCAGTCACAACAGTATCATTAAATAATATAACAGTAACATGCAACTGAAGGCAAAGGACTGATATTTTTTAAGTTGTAAAAATAAACAGAGATATGTTATTTCCAGCTCGAGTTGGCTTGATGCATATAGGCGTCTTCATTCTTCTACTCCTGAGTGGGGAGAGAAATTTTGGTGTGCGCCTCAATAAACCGTACAGCGCCAAAGTACCGATGGACATTCCTGTCTTCACAGGTGAGAACATGATCTGTTTTGATTGCATTTTTGGTGTTTACAGTTAGGGATTCACAAATATTGTTTTGTGATAAATCCAAAAAAAAGCATAAATGCAGTTCATAAAGAAATAGCAAGTAATGTTACCACTGAAATACGTATTTACAATAACATTATGATGAAGGCCTTGCCATAGGCACTGGCTTCAAACTGTGGACTTCATATGAGATGTGTAGTTTACAAAGTGGCTCTAAATTGTATTTTTCTTCAAGTTTCTTCAGTTTCCCTGTGACATTAATGATTCCTTTCACCATTGCTCGCTATTTGCCTAGCTCCATCCCCTGAGGGGTTCAGTAGCCCTGACAAGGCAGACATTGTCACTCCCTTCATCCTTAAATTGGGAGCTTTGTCTCTGACCTAATTGGGTTGGTCACAGAGTAAGGAAGTTATTTTTTTTAAGTTTAATATCCACAATAACTATATGTAGAGAATTTTATGTTATGAATATATTTACAGGTTATGTAAAAAACCTTTTTTTTCCCTGACATTCCAGTTTGTTTTGGGCTGAAAATTATGAAGTTGGAGGAGAAAATCTATTTTGTGGTCTGCATAATGTCATGCTCACTGCTCTCCAAATTGATTGACAATGGGAAAAATATATAAGATCAAATATGGTTATTTTTGGTATAACACTGCAAGAAAATCAAACTTTGTTAAAGCATTAGAGGTTTGAGTGTAGAAGTACTTTCCCATTCTGAATTTTGATGTGGAATGAAGGGATCACATAAAAAATATTTGATTTTAATAGAATATTTTGCAGGTGTTTGTAGTGTTGGGTGATGGAAAGAAGTCAAATTTTTTTGAGAAAAATGTACGTGTTTGATGCTAACAGAATTAATTATGTGTAAATATAATCGGTAGTCAGTTTATCAAGAGATTGAGGTATCCCTTGCTTTACAAACATTCAGTTTACAAATCTTCACTACAGTGAAATGTGTTAATTGTACTATTGTTAACTTAACATACCTCATTTTCACTACAGTGAACTACGTATGTTCATAAATTCAGTGACTTTTCCATATAAAGTAATGGTGATTTTATTTTCAATTTATGAATTTTCACCTTACAAACAGTCTCCATGGAATGAATGGGCTGTGTAAGTGGAGGGATACCTGGGCTTTGGAAAATGACAGCATGTATTATGTTCAGGCAAACGTAGAATTTTACTTTTTACAGGAACACATGCAGATCTGCTAGTTACAGTTTTCCACAAAATTATAACAACAGGTCACCAGAGGTTGCAGCCGCTGTTTGATTGTCTTCTTACAATCCTTGTAAATGGTAAGTATCAATGATAGACTCTGATGTTACATTACTGAGTCCATGGAGAGAGTCTTTAAGAAGCCACAGATAATCACAGAATCCTCCCATGGGAACCAAGGATAGGTTCCCTTTCACAAGAGCCTGCCTTTAATATTTTGTGATCAACTGTTAAGTTGAAGAAAGTTGTCTTCTGGGTTTAGGCACCGTGTATTCTTCGTTTTGGCCGACGTTTCGGAGGAACGTAGCGCCTCCATCTTCAGAGCAGTTGAATAGCTGCGGAGAGCAGTAGCTGTGGTGATAGGATGTGGAAGGTGCTGCTTATATACGAAGTAGGCAG